TAAGCAACTGCACGAATTCTAGGTAGGAAGGAGTTTCCCAGGGAGAAGTTGCTCAGGAAAGACTGAGCAGTGGATCGTGAATTTCACACGAGTGAACTCCTTCAGAAGACAGGCTGGAGCAGAGCTTTAAATTTGGTGAACAACGGACTCCTACGTTGTTGTTGTTGTTGTTGTTGTTGTTGTTGTTGTTGTTGTTAAAAGTATGGACCTCCTCAGAAATTTCATATGGATGCAAGGCAGATATTTTAGTCACCCTTAGAGAGTAAAAACAGTTGCTTTAAAAACTCAATATATTATTCTCCAAGTAAGCTATGAATCATACAAGAAATACTGGGTTTAAATATTACAAGGAATATTTGGATTTGGTTTTGATTTTTACACTCAAGAGATGTTTTTAATTGACAGGATAGTTAAACTGTGGCTAAATAGAAGAGTGAAGAACATCTCCAGGAAGGTCAGGTAGCTGTATCAGGAGAATTAGGCCAAAATGAAGATTTAGGGAGTGAGTCTTGGATATGCTAAACGGGCTAGACTAGAGCAGGGGTTTTGCACAATTTGCTGCTAAACAAACCCTTAAGTAAGTTCATTTTCCCTCTCGCTCACAGTTAAGCTCTCACAATTTCTCTGCTGTTGATGAACAGACTGTGTTAGCACAATTAGCAGAACCTTAAGCAGTTCAGCGAAGCTTCCCCACCATGTGGCCCAGCATGAAAAATATGTAATATCATGGAATGTATTTTCATTCCCCTCCTTCCTCTGTTTCCTAGCTTACTTTCTGTACATAAGACTTGAGAGCTTTCTCAYGTCCCAAAATCAAAATAAATAAATAAAAGAAGTAGTTGCAAGGTGAAGAACATGAAATCAGGGAAATCAGGAAGCAACAATTCGATGTTGATTTGGTCCTTTTATTTACATTATTTGCATTTTACTTACATTAGGATAAWAAATGTAATTACATCTTTAATTCTTCTTTTGCACCTTATGAACATGATATGAGAAAAATGCAAGGCTGTGAAGGACTATCACTCATAGAAGCTCTGCAGCATTTTTGGCTGAGCATGGTGGGCATAGGCATCTCCTGGTTCACGATGGCTTCTTGGAGAACTAATTCCCACTCTGTGCTTCTGCCACAGATTTTCTTTTAGTAATTCAGGAGCGCAGACTGTAAAGGAGAGTCCCCTGACTATTCATTTTATATGGATATGGTAGGAGTTTCTTTGTGAGCTGCTGAAATGCTGAGTATACACACTGAGCAAAGAGAAACACGCACTTTCTGTGCTTGAAGTCTTGTAGAGTTCTAAGTATTTTGAAAAATCACACGGTAGATGTTGCAGCCAGGATGCATATAGTCAAAGTACAAAAAACCCCAGGCTTAGGGGGAACTTTATACTTTAAACATGGCGTGGTTTGCTTACATTTAGTTTATCTACTCAGCAATTCAGATGGCATTTTGTCTGTAGATCTCCTTAAGTGATACAGCCTGCAAGATTATCCGTAAGCGCAAACATGTCTGGTGCAGACGCGTTGTTTGCACCTTCCTTTGGAAGATCCGTGCGGARGTGCCCGGGCGTGTGGAAGCGGTGGGGATGCCGGGGCCGGGGCTGCGCCCGCTTTGTGAGCACCCTTTGTGGGGGACACGAGCAGTGGCTGAGAGCAGAGGGGCAGGCGAGACACGTGCCCGGTGCAGGAGGGTACTGCATTTGTACGTGTCACCATAGGTATGAATTACACAGGCCTGCTTTGTAAGACAGGCTAGTCCGCTTCTGCCAGTCCTACGTATGTGTATATGTACACATATACTGTGTGTTTGTGTGCTTACACATATCTATATAGAACAGCCTTGTAAGGCAGGCCAGCCCTGAAGAAATCCTGGTTTTTAGCCCCAGATGCCCCACACAGATGCAGTATTCTTCACTGCTTGCTATATTCCAAAATTGTTTCTTCATCTTCTTTTTTTCCCCTCCCTTTGGCTCTCCCCTCTCTTTCTAATTCCTCTTTCCTGACTCCTGTAAGAGGCTTAGGAGGGAGAGGCTGCCGGCCAGGGAAGGCAGCCAGCTGGTGCCCTCAGGGAAGCAGAGGCAGGGGGTTCTGCACAGGGTCCTGCCGGTGTGTAATTTAGGCTCACCCTGATCAAAGCCACCTTGCTCACACTCTCTTACGTCTTAGGTTTAATTCTGCTCCTGCTTCTGGCCAAGTGTCTCTGGAGTGGAGCTGCGGGAGGCTGCAGGTGCGGCGGCACGGGGCGCTGACGCGCAGTCCTTGGCATGTTGTASCCTGGTGCATCAATTACCAGCGTTACGGGGGTGAAAACACCCCGCAAAGGGTGACGGTGTCAGCCACCAGGACTGTCCGGTTGTCGCCTGGTGTTTAGAAACCTGTCACCATTACGATCCTTTATGAAGGAATAATGGGTAATAAAGCGGTGCTGCGAGTGCCAATTAAGGAACATCAAATCAACGGGTATGCGGCTCACGCTGATTTAAACAGGAGCTGATTGGGATAAATGGGTTTAATATATACTTATGTTCTGTGGCTATTCTGGCATACCTACAGGAAGTAGCAGGTGAATAATCTAAGGAAGGTACTGACTTGCATCTCTAGTAGGAGGCTAATGGGGAACATAAAAAAAAAAGGAAAAAAAAGGAAAAAAAAAAGGAAAAAGGCTCTGGACACTGGCTGGTTATGAAATAAATGGTAAATGTCAGTTTGCCAGATAGTGTTAACAGCCATTTCAAAGCACATTTATCTGACACATATGTGCATTACTGTCTACATATTCTGTTCGTGCAATTAATATTCTACTTGTATGAGTTTTGATGCCACTTACATATTCTTGAATTTTGACTATACTGGAACATGGGCTTGGATTTTTGACTATGCTGCACAATTTATGCCTTCATTTTGTTTTTCTTTGTTCTATATGAAGTTACACATTGAAATAATACCAAAATTTTAAATTTCACAGTCTTAATTCCAACAAGAAAACCCTTACAGGTACAGATTAAATTGTATAATCAAGTCTGTAATTAGACTTCTTAAGGATTTATGTTTAAATACTGTAAAGAATAGAACTGTGCTCCTGCCTATAATTATCTGTATAGAGGGAAAAGCAGGAAGATACCCTGCAGCCTCCTACCCTAAACTTGCCCCTAGAAGTAGACTTCTTCCTCTTTCAGTTGCGGTGCCCTGACGATGAGGAAGGCACCATGGTTAACTAAATTCCACTACAAAAATTGTTCTTTTCTGCACACGTGTTTTCTGGCTTTTGATTCTAGGATGCTGYAGGTTCCCAAGAACGGTTTATAACTTTGCCCTTCATGTTAGAACTACAGAATGGTGATGAGAGAAAGGGTGCTGAAACATAGAACTTGATTTTCAAGCTTTAGAGGTATATGGTCTGGAACAGGCCAAAATAAATAAGTAAATAAATACATAAAACCTATAGAGCCTGGGATTGCAGGGACATTTCATTTGCCTGGGATGTTTTTTGATTTGTTCGATTTTCTTGCCTCTTCCTGCTTTTGTAGAGGCACTTAATGTTTCACTGGTGGGCAGCCGAATTTGTTTCCATTGTGTAGAATAAAACGTGCTTTTTCCTCCTCGCATATTACACAGTAATCCAAGAGCAGGTCAGCAGGAGCACAGGGCATTGTATTGGTACAAGAATGAAGAATTAGATCCACCTCTGAATGTAGATCTGTGCCTCTCTGTTAATGGTGTTGCATGTGCCAAGGGTACTTTGTTGCTGCCATCTACGCATTCTGCAATCAATATTTTCATCTTCTTACTTTGTACCTTCCTGTATAATTACGAGAAAAAAGAGAGATTGCACAGGACATATGGCAATTTCTTCTTCAAGAGAAGGACAAGAAGCTGTCACTTTCTTAACTGTAGCAGCGTGGTTGTGGTTTCTGTGAGGCTCCACATCTCCCCCCCTTCCTCCTTGGTCTTGGTTGAGAACAGCTTTGTCCCATTTCGCCTAATCGGAGTGAAATCTCCTGGTTGGAAACCTGCAACACACAGTGCTGAGGGTTAATAGCGAGTGACAAAGCAGTTGCCTGACTGGAGCCCTTATCCAGGGGTGGAAAAGATCCAGTTAGGGGAATACGGGAGCGTAGCAGTTGTGTTGGGAGGCCTTGCAAGAGGCCCACATCTCAACACACCACGTGCCACCAGGTTTAGCTGTACAGCATTAGCCCCCCGTGCTTTAAATCCATCTTGTGGCCTGTCTTGCCTTCCTCCATCCTTCCTATTCAGCTCCTAAGTGTCCTATCTTATCAGAAAAGCCCTKCTGTTCTTGGGTATGCCATATTATCTATTTCTATACAACTGAAACCTCAGCTCAGTTTCCACCCGCTCTTCCAAGCGAGAGGGATCCCCCGCCTGCTAGCCCTGCTACTCCCTCCTCCAGCCCACGCAAACGGTCCAACTGACTCTACATAGTTGGCTGTGTGTGCTCGGAAGAGTAAGTGTCACTGAACTGAAGCAGGAGAGAATTATTCCTCCCTCCTTAAAATCCTGTTAATCCAATCGGAATTAAGGCAGCGTGCTGGTTATTCTCTCAGAGTGCTGCGTTGCCTGCAAATCAAAGATCACCCAGCATGGTCAGTGTTTTAAAGCACCTAAGCTAAGTAATGACTTTTAGGTTGTGTTGAAAGGTGGATTTCGTTACTTTGATTATTTTTTATGCGTAAAAATCAAAGCATGTGAAAAGAAATCAAAAGAAAAAAAGCCTAATCTCACCAAGKTAGCATCACTTTCCCCTGTAGGCCTTGTTTCTAAAATACTGCCTCATTGAGTCATGAGAGTGTTTGCCGAAAAGGGAAGTTCTTGCATTTTTAAAAGCAAAACTGTAAARTACATTTTCATTTTGTAATGTAAAATCTCTCATGTCAGGTGCACCTGCTCGATTTGCATGTGAAATCTGAACAATTCTTGTTTTATGTGACACTTCTGAAATGTCTGTCTGTTTCTTTTTTTCTTTCTTCTTAATTCTCAAGCTCACTATTTGGATAAGATAGTGAAAGGTACTGTATATTTGCTCTTTGCTGACATGCCTGTACCTTACATGTATTTTCTTATATATGAATACATAGCAACCACTGTACTAGATTGGCAAAAGAATTTTTTTCTTACATGCATTCCATGGATTATAGATTTAATTCATGCTAGTTTCAACCCATCTCAAATTAAAATATAAAATTACACGTTATATAAAAATATTTTACTAGTTGTTACACATTTCTGTACAAACTGTATACGTGTATGAGATTTTGCTTGAACCAAAGACTGAAGATAGTATTTGTTTGCTGTTTGGTGCTTTATCTTTGTTGGTTTTGTCACTGGACTTCTACCTATGAAAAAGTAAATACTTAGGAGAAGAAGCAAAATGATACTCCTGTCACAGAACAAGTATCAATAGTTCTGAAGAACAGATTACAGACATGTTTTATGTGTAGACAGATCAACGGAATAACTGGGGCTTTTAACTTTTGTTATCTAAGTGTGGACAAATCTATAGAAAATTACAACTATGCAATGTTTTCAATTAAAAGGTTCAAGGATATAAATACCCAGTATGAAACAGCAAAGATTGTTGTATCTTCAGTTATGGTAAAATTCGATAGAAAAATGGTTAACAAAAATCCTACCCCTCTTTCCCTGAGTATCTTTTTCTATTCCCTCTTTGTGTTTTGTTTTTTTTTTTTTATTTTATTTTATTTCATTAGAATATGGCAATATTCATGGCAATATCCAGGCTTTCACACAGTAGTTCTTGAGAGTACCCAATTGACTTCTAAAACACTCTGCCAGCAGGGCAATTAAATCTGTACATCTTCCATAAATGAAACAGAAGAAACATTCTGGAAAAAAAAAAAAAAAGTAGCTCTCTGCATCAACAAATGCTGCTAGCAGCTCCGCTCTGAGAGAAAGAGAGTAGCAAGACTAATCTCAGCCTGGCATGATGGCATGATATCCATAACTATAACATGTTCATACTTTCTCATAAGAGGCTGTTATGATTCTCTGCCTTCTATGAGTAATTCGACAAGAGTTGAGAGCCCTTTATAACTTCTTTTTCTGGGGATTTTTGTAATTTGAAACTGCATAGTTGAAAGGAGTCATTATAGTCATAATTCTTTAGAAGAAAAAAATAAGCTRTTGCTTCCAGAAGAGTGCTCTAAGCTCAAGCAAATTTAAGCAAAGCAGGTTAGTAGATTAGTTCACAAAGACAGTAGTCCTAGAAAGTGAAGAAATGCTTTCACCAGTTATTTAGGTGTGGGGKTTTTTTTTAATAAAAGTTTACAGATAACTGTTGTGTCCAAAAATAGATTTGTAGCCACGTTCACCTTAGAAACTTAGTGCCATCGTGTACTTGCTTCTGTCRATGTCTTATCATAGTCACAGATAAGGAACGCCAGAATCTACATATTTATGAAGTGTTGTCATCCTCATACAGGCCATGGTGGCTGCATGCCAGATTTCATCACTAGGAAGTGACAGATACTGTTTTTTTTTTCTTTTTTTTTTATGTAATGTTAGACTGAAAACAATTATAGATTTTGGATATATTAAATTATTTTAATTGTTTCCCAAATTTTCCCTCCTTGGCCATAAAAGCAGACAAGATAGGATATAAAGGTAACAGCACAAAAGCCTTAGGGAGACTGTCACAAAAAATCACTCTCTGCTATCTGTCTTGAAGCACGTCACTACCGTGTTTTTGTTCAGTCTATCAATGTTTTATTGTGGTCCTTATGGTATTTCATTTTGTCCGTCCTAAGTAATCAAATACGCACAGCTATTACATTTAGTTGGAAATCCTGTTGGTCCTGTCCCATCCGTATGCAGCCTGAATCCTAATGTTTGTTAGAATAGATGCTAAGCTGCTTCACTATTTCCTGGGCTTTGCTTATTCTGTGGAAAGGAATGTACTTTTGGCATAAAGTATAGTCATTAAAACTGGCCTATACTTTGTGCAATTATTTAACACACTGTAATTTCACATGAATATACGGCAACTCTGAGACCAGATAAAGTTAACGTTCGCCTTTATTGTGTGCCTAAAATCAGATGCGCTTTCCTACTGAAGAATTTGGAGGGATTTGGGCTTAGTAACATGGAGCTGAAACATTTATACCAGTAGGTATCCAATATCGTGTGCAGCAAATAACGCTCTATTCTATGAGCACAGAAAAAAGTAGCRTTTTACACAGCCGTGTTTGTGCTGTGCGCTCATCTCTTGTTACTTTGCCAGAAAAAAAAAAGTTTAAAAAAATTAAAAAAACAAACTTAATTTTGTCTGGCCTGCAGGTATTTAGAGGATTGGTGCATATATTTCCTGCCTGTACAGGTAAGTGGTGTCTCAAGTGTCAGGCCAATCGCAGATGCCACTTTGTTAAGAAATACCTTCCCCGGGTAACGTTGCTGTTCCACTCCATGTGCAATTACAGTATTTGTGCTGTTTTAGAGGCCTGTTCCCAGTAAGTGTCCCTTGTTCGTAGCTCTCTCTCTTTCCTGGGCTGACCCGACCGCAACGTTTAACTCGCTGGCCGCTTTCTGCTTTGTGTGTTTCGACAGAGGGCTGCCCTGGCCTGTGCAACAGCAACGGGAGGTGCACGCTGGACCAGAACGGCTGGCACTGCGTGTGCCAGCCCGGCTGGCGCGGGGCCGGCTGCGACGTGGCCATGGAGACTCTGTGCACTGACAGTAAGGACAACGAAGGAGGTGAGTTTGGAAGCACACMGAGGAGCAGAGGGTGTTACAGCCAGGTGAAAAATGTGCAGCGGCATGCGTTGCGCTTGAGCTGGTCTCGTGCAACGTGTGCCGCTTGCGCGTGGCGCAGGAGCAAAGGGCTCCTGCCACGGGGGAATAGCCAGCTAGAAACTCCTGGGAGGCACTTTGGCTTTCCTGTGACACTCCTCTGTACTGGAATAAAACGTGGGCTCAATTCTATGAATTGTAGTGGAAGAAGAAGAGAAAGCTGGGAGTTCAAATTCTCAGTGACCTCCCAAGGATATTATCCCAAGAGAAAAGACCGAACAGGGACTTTACGTTTTGACCTGGGACGCTATTTCTGGAATCAGTGGCTTGCCCGGGCCTGTGGGTGAAGATCTTATTCACCCATAGCTTGTGAATGCTCGGATAACTGACAGGGTGCTCCTGGAAGTCTGTCTGGTTTTTTTCTTTTGCTTGCTTTTCTGCGCTCTGTCACTCGTGTGACAGATAACAATCTGCAGTGAGATGCATGCGGGACTCGTGAGTGGAGGAATCAATCTGTGATCAAATCTCTGTCGAGTAGTGAAGACAGGGGCTGTGACTTTCTGACACGACTCAAATCTCACGGAAAATCACAAAACCAGTTAACGTGTGCAAGCAGTCAAATATTAGATCGTTGGAATGCTTTTTTGTTTTTCCTGTTTACTCATCTACTCTCTTTTTTTAACATCTTTAGAGCAGAGATTAAAAAAAAAGCGATGATGATCATACCCTTATTTTTCCTCTTTAGACTGGCTGTACCTGTCTCATTGCTGGTTGACTGTTCAATTTCATATCCTGATTGCAGTGGGGATCTGAGACATCATAAAACATAAATAAGATGGTCAAAACAGTGCTGCTTTTACTTAAAATCTTAAACTTCATTTGGTTTATCATGCTACACCTCTACATATTTTGTATTTTGAATCAACTTTACACATTTAGGGGGGCTGAAGAATCTGGGATGATCTGAGCTACAGGGAGCTGGTACAAACCTGAATCTCTGCATGTATGAAGGGAGCAAGAGGAGTGAATTAGCCATAGGCTCCTCTTGCAGAGATGTGCTGCATGAATTAGGTTCAGGTGGGTGAAGGTGTTATGAGCATAAGGAAGACAGGGAACCTGAAAGGATGAAAAGAGACCAAGAAAGGAGAAAAAGACGTCAGGGGAAGTTAGAAGAAAGGCAGTTTGGAGGGAAAAAAAATAGATGATATAGGAAAAAATAAAAAAGAAAAAGCCCAAGGATAGACTTAAAATATTTTGGTAAATATTAAAGATAGTAGATGAAGGTGGCATGCCAAAAAGCAAGAGAGAGAGTCAACAGCAGACAGCAGAGCAGCATGAGGAAGAGAGGCAGTGAACAGGAATGCACATAAAGGGAAAAGGAGATGCTCCTTCAGACTGAAAAAAAAAATGATAGTTTTTTGTGAGTAAAAGGGAGAAAAGAACAAGGAACTGGAGCAGAAGAAACTAACAGAATGGCTTAAAGTTCAGAAAGAAAGATGACATTGGAAAAAAAAAATCTTTAAGAGTGATATTTGTATTGCCYCTCGTTCTTTTTTATTATTTCCTTTGCAGGCATGACCCAGCTATGTATGAGGTAGGGCCTGGCCAGCTGTTTTACCATGGTTGACCTATATAATGCTATTTGTCATTGACATTTCTCTTTTAGTGATCCTTGTTTTTCATTTATGTGCTTCAGTAAGGAGCATATTCACTTCAGTCTTTGATTAATGGCTGAGGGAAAAGGTTAAGCTATAGCATTTAAATTAAATCAGATGAAAAACTGTGAGGATACCAAACAAAACAGGGAAAGGTGAGTTCACATTGCCAGAAATCCACCTGGCAAGAGAAGCAGAGTTTCTTCCCATTCCAGAAATCCTTGCAATCAGCCGGCTGAGCAATGGAGCAAGCTCTTCGGATTGCAGGCGGCTAATGGAGAAGGACGTGGCCCTGCCCTATTTGTTTACTGTGGGAGATTAGATTATCCAAGCACTTAGGCTGGATTTGTGCTGCTGACCCCAAGTGGTGTGATTTACATCACATTAGGCTCGGTGCTTATGTAATTAACGTTATCTTGGTTGCTAGCTAATTGATATACTGTGGTTCATGTTTTTGTTTTGCCATACCCTGGATGAGATGTGTTTTGTGTATCACTATAGCTAGTTTGTATTAAGAATAGCATTTGCTCTTGCTTTAGTTCTTAGCTCTTTCTGGAGCTGAGTGTTCAGCTTCTGTGAACATGAACATCCCCTGACTTCAGTGGGAAATTTATCTGTAGGAAATGATTATTGAATGAAGAATATTCTTGATCATTTCTCCTTCTGTGTGCTATCGACATAACATGGGGTGATTATTACGTGTCTTCATTGTGATACAGGTTTTTGAAAGCCCTGCAGATCACATCCTCTCTGTTTAAAGATAGCTCTTTCTCTGTTTTCCCGTGTGTTTGGTTTAGATAGTAAGTAACAGAATTTTCCATACATTTCAACAGCTTAGAAGGGATGCACGCGCCACAAGCAGACCTTAGGCTGAACTGAGCTCTTAACAGCTCTGGGGGGAAGAGGGGAAAGTTCAGCAGGAGTTTTTCATGGGCACAATATGCCTGAATTCCTAACTTTATCCTGAACAAAGTGAGACATGTTTTATTCTCATTCCATAGGAAAAATAAGCTGTAGACTCTTCATGTGGGTTGTTAATGAAGAGGTTACTCTTTTAGGCTTTTATTCAATTATTAAGAGTAGTGACAGGTTATCCCCAGTAGGGATTAGTAGGGATTATTAACATTCTTTTGTTGCTTAAATTAAAATAAATATTATAACAAAACAAGGCTTGCTTTGTACTTGGTGTATTTTTTTTAATTACTAACATAGTTTAGATTATCCGGCTGCTAATAATCCTGTCATAGGGGACTACAGAGACAGTCTTTAGACTGATCTTCAGGTCACCTAGCCCAGTGTCACTTATCTGACAGTGGCTAATAGAAAGTGCTTTGCAAAAGCCTGCAAGAATTGGGCCTATGCAGAATGATCTTTTGCATACAAGCAGGCTGCTAATTAAAATAGGAATTTAGTGCCTGAGATTTTGCAAGTCAGAAGATAAACTAAGCACAAAGGTAGCCCAAACTCAGGACTTTTCAGAAAGTTGCTCCTTGATTTAGGGTGGATGCAGTGGAGTGCTGAGGTTCTCTGGTTTGTGCTCAAATACTTGGCCGATATTCCTCGCCTTTCTGTTGCACCCATGGCCACTGGGGAGTGCTGGCTTGGTTTATCTGTACTGTTTCTCCACCGTGAGGCCAAGAGCCATTTCTGAAGTGATGCTTTCTTTTGGAGCCTAACACTCGATATTTTAGGCTGCTTCACTGCAACAAAAATGCAGTTTGTGTAGTCACTCACTGAGCAAGGTGCTTGTGCACTGCCCAGGCTAGCACAGTGTGATCCTCATACACACGAGGGTAACTGAGGTTTCTCAGTACTGACTTCTCTGTCCATTCCAGCCTCCTCTCTTAGTGTAACACAGCCACTGCTGGCCTGGTGGGATGGGCAGCAGTTCAGCTACAAAACTGTTTTCTTCCTATGCAGACACCTCACTTTGTAGAGTTTCTGTGTTACTTAAATACAYGATTACATTATATACAAACAATGTGATTATGCAGGTCGGTTGCATGACCCACTCTTAACACTAATGGAATTTATAATGTGGAATTATTTTGTCTCACAGGTTTTCTTCCTTGCAGCAGTTTTATAAACACCCTTTAAATTCCACTCAAAGACAAACATTCACACTCATGCATCTCATTTTTAAGCATCCAGAGGGGCATGACTTCTCTCTCTTGGCTCTCCTTCTTTAATATTTTTTGGTTTTATTAGTCTCTCCAAATGAGTCATCTTACCCCCAGACTGTGCTCCATTGCAGTTCCATGCTTTTTGCAACAAAGGGAAAAGTAGCATTAGTCAAGATTTTCACAGCTAGACTTTAAGCTTTTGAGGAGAAAAACAGTAATGGACTCATTACCTCTGGTGTATATAGAGAAGCCACTTACATCTAGAACAAAGAAATATATAAAGTAGCCTTCTGAGGCTGATAATGAYTGTCCATCTGCTGTGACAGTTTATTTTCCTTATAGGTCTGCTATCACATTTGAATGATAGAGCTGGTAAGCTAGTGCTGCACTAAGAGCCATATTTTTCAGGCTAAACAAAATTCATCAATAATTGTGCAGAGCTATTTCAGGAAGGAAATTTTCCTCTGCTTCACACAGTGCAATAGAATAGTCAACTTAGTGGTACTAGATAGCTCTAGCCACATAAGTACAGAGAAAGAATGAAAAATGTTTTCTGAAGTTATAAGGAGCCAGATTCATAACCATCCGTCACTCGCCTGGGCAAGTTGCTGATAAACTCCACAGAAAAATAACAAACAGCGTGTCTCTGTATCTTGGCTGGTGAAAATGAGATTCTTTCTCTGATTGATGTTAGTGGAGAGGCTTGTAAAAATGCATTTCCAGCTGATTAGTTCAGAAGGTGTCAATCTCATGCAGTTTTATGACCTGCATACTGTATGCCAGATGTACATTTGCTTTTTATAAACTAACAAAGATGAATGTCTAAATTTTAGCATTCCTTTGGCAACTGTACCAGATATTGCCTGTGAGACCATATAGAGGTATAAAAAAACAGAACTCTGCTTTTAATCGCCAGTACCCTTAACTTTGACACTGATCCAGGCTTCCAGAGTTAAAACCAGCAAGGGAGCTCAAGTGCTTCAGCCAGAAAGGAGCTTCACACTGTGTAGGACTGAGGCTGCAGATGGACTCAGCCTGGCAGAATGGCCGAGGCCGGCAGGGACCTCTGGACATGGCCCAGTCCAACCCCCCTGCTTGTGAGGGGCTCCCTGAGCAGGKTTCCTCAGAGCCCAGTTCAGCTGGGTTTTGACTGTCTCCAAGAATAGAGAGCCCACAGCCTCTCCAGCCCATCAAGGGCCTCCGAATGGCAGCACAACCATCTGGTCTATCCACCACACCCCCCAGTAAAAGTCAATATTATTTCTTTTCTCTTTTTAAAAAATATAAACTTTGATGTACTTAATGATGATGTTTCATCCCTTTTTTATTCCTCGAACTCTCCTCAGTGTTGACTGCGTTAAATAGGAGTTTTAGATGTGCCAAAGAATAGAAATCTCGGGACTCTGCTATTTTGCCAGTCCTCCAGCCGATCTGCGTAGCAAGGCAATTCTTAGAGGAATACCTTTAGAAGATTGCTGTTTACTTACCTTCTTTCAGTACATGATTGAGCAAAAATGAATGAGATTTTTCCCTTCAAAAAGAAGTTTTACTATAAAGCTAGATACCTTTGTGAACGAGGCAGTCATGGGCTTCCTCAGAATGCTGTATGGGGACTTTTTTCAGCTTAGTGGCAGCAGACAAGCTCCCTCCATAATCTAAATGAAATAATAAAATGTTTGAGTATTTCAGTCTTGCTGTTCTTTTGGAGAAGCAATTATCAGCTATGTGATACCATATTACATTCATCTAGAAATTTTCTGTAGCTGACATTTCCAGGCTCATTTTCCTTATGACTTTACTTACAGCAAATTAGTAGTTATCAATTTGATCTTGATTTTAATCTTTCACCAAATTAGATTTCCAGTGATGTGACGGATCTATGCTCATTATATGTGAATATTAAGCACATAAGCATAAAAGCACCCATGTGTTTAAATCGTGTTTGTACTGGCCAGTATTCCTCATCAGCGTATTCAGAATAAAATCTAAATGTTAAGTACAGATTTTGTTTTCTCATACATTTTCATGCAAAACAGTTGTGGAAATTGCCTTTGCCACTAGCAACAAAACCTTTCATTCAGAGTATAAAGGAATCCACCTTGATAAATGTTGTTAAATATTTAAAGCTACTTGCAGCATACATATGCTTTAAAAGTTCAGGAAAACGGCAGGCTGGGAATTACTTGTTTCTTTTCTCTAGCAAGCCAAATWACCTCAGATAAAAGCCACTTAGCTCCCACACAAATGTTTAATGTTTAAAAGTCAAGAGTGTATGCAGAGCCTAAGTCCCCACGTTTTCTGGTTTGCTCCGCAGGTTTTTAGGAAAGTATTGAATAAATTCATYTAGTACGTACAAGGGACCGAGTGCACTCAGCTTGCGTGAATTTCCCTAAGAGTTTTAAGAACACAGAGGAAACAAGCTAGCATTAATTGAGAGTGAATTCGTACTAATCTTAGTTATTAATATTCTTTCATAGTACATGATGTTTTGAATCTCTCTGCTAGCTGGGTTTTTCACATACAAAGCACAGGAAGAAGACTTTGTTCATTTGTGTGAATTTCTGCCAACAGATGGGCTGGTGGACTGTATGGATCCTGACTGCTGTTTGCAGAGCTCTTGCCAAAATCAGCCTTACTGCCGTGGACTCCCTGATCCCCAAGATATTATCAGCCAAAGCCAGCAGTCGCCCTCTCAGCAAGCTGCCAAAGCATTTTATGACCGGATCAGTTTCCTCATAGGAGCGGAGAGCACTCACGTCATCCCCGGCGAAAGCCCTTTCAACAAGAGGTGGGCACGGCTCATCTGTTACTCACACGTGTGAAAAGCCATCAAAGAGTGTGTGAGAGTCATGCTAAGAGACGAGTCACTGTGAAAATGTCACCGAGTGGCCTTTCCGCAAGGACACTTTGCCTTAATTTTCTCAAATTGTTTATTTTCCTACAAAATTCCAATTGCTAGTGCTGGTAGGTTACAGCAGGTACTTGCCATTCTGACAGGGCACTTCATTAATGATTAAATAAATCCTCGTTTAACCAGTTGATTTGGGTTAGCACAGTTGGAAGTATATCAAAGCAGTGAAAGCACTTCAGAAGGGAAAGCAAAGCTCCACTTTTAAAACTGAGCTCACTAAATAATATAAATTATGAATTAATGTAATGGAACCGTTAAGTGCACGACAGTATAATTGCATAAACTATTTGACTGGTGCTCTATGAAGCAGTAATGACCTGCAAAATAAACCAGTAACAGGAAGCAGGTGTCTTAGATCTCACTGAGAGGAAGAAGATGATTTACACTAGAACTACTGTGTTTGCAGTAATTTAACAGCATTAATGTGTTTGGGCACAGCAGTTGATTAAAAGTTGTTGCACAAATGTTCCTTATTGCTCTTTTGAATTTTGTACTTAGCCCCTGCAGTTTTACAGATTGCTCTGATACTAATTGAAAAGTACATTTTCCTTTATGAATCTGCCAGAGGTATGACTTATAGTGGGAACATCTGAAGTTTATAAGTTCTTAAAATTCTTCACTGAATTATTGGTCTTAGTAACTCAGCACAGACAAAATGAACCAAAGTAAACTCAGCTAAATTAAAACAAGTGACTAGCTATAGCTGTTGAGGCGTATGTTTAGAGAATGTATATTATGTGAACTTGTAAAAGGGTTAGAAGCTTGGGAATGTTTTTGTTAACAGTACTTGATACCATGAAGAGAGACGTGTGTGYGCGCGATATTGGCTGGTGTTCGTTTAGATGAGAACTAAGAAGTCTGAAATGTTATCCTGAATCTTTTTCACAGCCTTGCRTCTGTCATAAGGGGCCAGGTACTCACTGCTGATGGAACACCCCTCATTGGTGTCAATGTCTCCTTCTTACACTATCCAGAGTATGGATATACAATCACTCGGCAAGACGGAATGTGAGTTCACTTTGAAGCACTTCTCAGACATAGAAACAGCAAATACATTAATAAATCAGGAGTCGCTCGTACAAATAATATAACGGAAACAAAAGACATGAAGAAGTTAATGAGGGAAGCTGTACTTTGTATGTTCTTCAAATAATGTTAAGCGTGCTGATTATATACTTCACAAGTAAAYGGGCTTATTTAATGTAAATGAGGCATCCCAAATTCTCCCTTCTCAGAGTACAGTATTATGTACTGTAATTTAATTGATTTCTCCATTGTTCCCAGTAGAGCTATTCAGTCTTCAGAGCAGTACAATAGGATGWAGAATCAGTCAGTAAAATGGAAACTGTAGATGGCTTTGGGAATTTGCTGGATAGCTAACCCAGCTTTTTTTCCAGGTTTGACTTGGTAGCAAATGGTGGCGCCTCCCTGACACTGGTGTTTGAACGATCACCCTTCCTGACACAGTTTCACACGGTGTGGATTCCCTGGAATGTCTTTTATGTCATGGATACCCTGGTCATGAAAAAGGAAGAAAATGACATTCCTAGCTGTGATCTGAGTGGATTTGTACGGCCCAACCCTGTTATTGTGTCATCACCTTTATCTACCCTCTTTCGAATTTCTCCGGAAGATAGTCCTATCATCCCAGAGACACAGGTAAAATGTCCTTCAAGTAAATAGTATTTTATTTCAGAAATCTGTTAAACAATTGTAATGAAAAGAATGCAAACTTTGTTTTTAAATAGATATTTTTGACTAGCATGAATTTGCAGCACATAACAATTTTCAGACAAGTTTACTTTTTCTGTGGGTTAATTGTTTCAAATTTCATTAGAGGAAAAAAAAGAAACAGGTAAGAAAACTTGCTACACACTAATATCTGGTTATATGTTTGTTTGTGTTATTTAAACCACAGTATCTTCACTTATCAGGCACTGTCCCATTAAGATGTGGCTTGTCTGTTTTAGAAGTGAACCTTAGGACTGAAAATAAAAGGTGTTTTTTTCCATTACRCTTGAAAATCCCATACAGTTCACCTTATCCATTTAGTTATGATAAACAGCATGTCACATATTTTTACAAAATAAAAGAACTTTGTAGTATTGAGAATAGGCAATGAGCATGTGTGATAATATAATTCCTTGGTTAGTACTTAGACCAAATATATATTTAAAAAACATCAAATTCATGTTTTAAATGGAAAGAACCATGATTTTGATGTTTTTCTTTTTTTCTGACATTGATTGTATTAGATTCTTTAGTCTCAAATAATTAACCTTCCTCAATTCTAAAAGCAACGTAACATTCTGAGAAGTAATATTTGATTATCCCATTATTGATTTCTAGTCATCCTTTCCTGTTAAGACAGTTCACTCTCTTTCTTGCTGTCCTTATTGCTCTGTTCCCCTCACAATCTCATAATTATATAGGACACTCTTTTGGCCCATTCACTAAGAAATGTCTTTGCGTCGTCAGGTGGAACACAGAAAATGTATTCAAATTGTTTTCATTGTGGACTTTTGAGAAAAAATCAATTCAGCAGTTCATAGAATGGGCAAATTTAAATAAAGATGCAAAGAAATTGCAACTAAATACACACAGACCTAGACAGTGCTAGCAAATGGTTGCTTTTATTCTCACTATCACTTCTGTGCCTTTRGTAGTTGCAAGTCAATTAGAAAAAGGTACTTGCAAAATACAATCTACAGAAAAATAGTGCTGATTTCCTTATTTTGGCAACAAATGATGGATTCAGTTCCTGAAGTGATGGAAAATGGCTTAAGTAGATGGTGTTATAAATCAAGAAAAGTAATAATAGAAAAATGTCAGAAAATACATTTTTTCAAGGAGCAATTCCAATGTCTAGATAAACAAGTCATTCTTTGAGCAGTGGGAATAATGAAGTCTGGTTTCCTACTAATTCCCACCCGTCTCTGTAATCCCAGTTTACTGCCAAGTCCAGTCATTCCCTCATGGAGCACACGTAGCCTTTTTCTCTGAGGGGATATTAAATTTAGATACTTCTTCCCTACCTGAGCCCTGTTTTCTTTTATAAACCTTTGCTGAGTTATTTTTAAGATTTCTACTGTGACTTGAAATGTGGTTGAAATTGTCTGCCAAGTTCAGAAGTTGTGAGCTGGGAGGTCTGGCAGACCAAACCGACRTGAGGTCAGGCTGATCTGTTTAGAAAAATGTCCGGAAGAGAAGGTCACATTCTCACAAGTTGTTATGCAGTAGATGCTGGCGTGTAACTTCTGATGAGAAGAAAAAAGTGCTATTGTTGCATATGCCAAACTTCAGTAACTGCACTGTTTAAAAACATCAAGGAATCTTCTCATAGCTCTTCTTTTCCACTGCTCCCACGGGTGAGAGCAGTGTCTTTGGAAATGCGTAATGCACAACAGTCTTCACAAGTCTGATTAAAAAAAAAAAAAGRCAGATTCAGATTATTATATTCAAAACCATCCGTTCAGCTCTTGAGGAGCTGAAGGATGCAAAGCCACATTGAGAGTGTGGGAGACTGAAGCAAGCAAAGGGAAAGAAGCTCTTGGCCGTGGTCTTTCAGTCRTTATCAGTCATCCTCTTCATGGGATGTGGCAACACTTGGTGTCACAGACAGGAGAAAATGATGTGCTGCTGTAATCATCATCCCTGGAAGAGCTTCATCATCCTTTGCACAGGATGTTTCCCAATAAGTATACCTAGTGGTTTATGAGTCCCAAAATGATCAGAGAGGAAATTAAAGTCTGTACTAAAGAAGCAGCCCAAAAGAAGAAGAAGAAAAAAATAAAAAAGAGAGCAAGAGCAAAGCAAGAATGGAGTAGGTAGAGGTGCAGCCACAGACCCAAAGGCACAACAGATCATTAGTCAAAAGGAAAGATAACTAATCTAAGATAACAAACAGGTCAGCAAAATTTAGATTATATAACCATGACGTTTTATCTGCCTCTAATTGCAGATTAGCATGCTATGCCTGGACTTAACTAACCAGGATTAATCAGTGCAGAWTAAGATATTAAACTACATGCAGATAAGGCAGAAGATCAAGTTAGTCTGGAGCTACTGATATGTGCTAGGTAATGCTGTTGGTGTCTTTTTCCTAACACAGTAGTTGCCTGTATGCTACATACTGCAGTGTGGCCCAGCAGAGACCCACATGGRAGTCAGACTGAGCAGTTTAAAACAGTTTTTGTGGAGGCTTCTTCTGCACTTCTGTTGTTCACCCTTAGGTATGCCTRAGAAGGTCCCAGTGCCATCTGCAGGTCCTGAGCAACTTGCCTCTAGGGCCTCAAGAATATGGGAGAATCAGGACTAGTATTTTCCTTCAAATTCATATTTTCCCTGGTTTAGAGTGACCCACATGGTCAGGGACCAATGTAAGTTAGATCAGACATGCATGTGCAGGAGACCAGCCAGCAGCAGGGGTGCTTGGTTTAGCTGAAGCGCTGCCAGGSCAAACCATTTCTGCAGGTAGATGCTCCCAACATCAGTTAAAAGTTGCTGAGTTTTTTTCTGTACCATAACCCTTGACTCTTTCTCATTATTGTCAATACAATAGAGCAGAAGTTGGCAAAATCTATTTACCCACTAAAATTAAGGGGAAAATACTGGTCCCAATGACTTCATAAAAATGATTCTCTTCAATGGAGAGTTGGCTAGGTTTTCACCTAAGAAATGAATCTGTTTTGTCATTCACATGGACAACCTARTAGGATATGTAGATATTTCAGTGTTACACAGATGCTACATCTTGTTTTCACTGAATTAAATTTACAAAAAATGGACTTTATTTCTACATGCAAGTATCTCAATTTATGTATCTTTGTTTTTCACCAATTTTTCTTCTCTTTGTAACTTTATATAGTGTTCTTGGTGTGTGTTTTTACTGATTCATTTTAGGCTTCTGCATGTATATGGCCTCATCTCTGTGGTATCTCAGCAAGACTACAAGCCTAGGAAGTTGAATGTTTTTTTCCTTTTATCTTAGGGTTATAGAATCCTAGATTTTCCCTATGAGCTCCTTTTTAAAAGCCTCAGAAGCCTCAGTTCTAGGGAAATTCTTTTTCTAAAAGGGAAAGATTTTTGTATTCTGAAATGAACAAATTCAGCTTACACTTAAGCTTACACAGTGGTAACATTTTAGTATTCTTTGGCCTCAAGCTTTGTGCAGTACAGTAGTTACCAATATTTATATGCTTCTAAGAGAACCATCTTTGCCCATCTCAAGCCATGATGTTTTTCCATTCTATTGCAGCAGCTAAGCTGTTATATCTCAGTGAAGAATCATTTTCTGGTGTTTGGATTAAAATTTGCACTAAAGTGTGAAAATTTTCTCGTATTTTCTATTCAAATTGCTCATTTTGAGGAAAAAGAAAAAAAAAAAAAAAAGGAGCAGGTATTCTCCCTCCTAATCTGAGTGTAATTTCATCCCTCAGGGTTGCTATTGCCATCAGAGCATGTCACCTGAATCATGTCATACTTGGGAGCCATAGAGTCCTGCGGAGCTTTAGTCCTGCTGGGCACGAGAGACAAGGAGTCCTACAGAATTTATGTGACTTACTGGACAACTTGAACTCTTAAGACAACAAATTCTTTCTTTGTGAAAATTGCAGTGACCCCTATCTTAGTCCTGTAGGTTAAATATTTCACAGATGGCCTTCCAAGAAGCTTGATCATCCATAAATAAAATGTCAACCTTTGGAATCTGGTAGTTGGGCTATAACTCAGTCCCCCCAAAGGATCAACCTTTCCGAGGGTAGTTTGACACTCTATCAGGAAAAGTTAAAGTAAAAGACAGATCGGTTGTGTTGGTGACTTCTGACGTGACTTTTATACTCAGGGACTTTCCTGGTGGCTTTATAATTGATGTATTGTCATGGCTCCCACAAGATACTCTCTGCTGTGCCTAACGACCACTGATCAGAAGATTGTTAAACTGTTTAATTCTGTTTATAGTGCTGGATTTCAGGAGAGAGCTTCAGTCCGATGTCTCTAGATGGTAAAAATTCTCAAGAAATTATGTTACTACAGGAGGTATTTTATGGAAAGAAGAAAGTTTTAAGTGAGATTTCCAGCAGATGTGAGGTCTTCGCAGAAACTAATGATGGGGTTGAGTTTTTGTTCTAAACCTCCCTGAGAACTGAATGAGTGTCCTAGTTTCTAATTCAATATCATCCCAATACACAGTGGATTTTCTTGGAAATTGAAGTTTCAAGGTGTCTTCTTTATTGCCTGTTATCTCAGCCAAGAGTATTTGAAGACCACCTAAGTGTTTAACACCACTCCTCCGCAGTGCACTTGTGAAAGAAGCAGGAGATCAGGGAGGTCCATTACTTTGTGTCCTGCTATGAGCATATGATTTCTCTTTGTTTCAGCAGTTGCTTGCAGCAGACTTTTAGACACAGTGTACCTGGGTCCGATGGGTGTCGGGAGGAAGAATTTCCTCCTTTAGTTCTTAAAGCTGTATTATAGTTTCACTGGGGGAGAAGAAACTGCTTCAGCAGTGTAAGCCATGGTGTTTAACCCTCCTCAACACAGACAGTAAATTGTTTCAAAGCAGTCTCCAAAGCTTTCCCCAGCATAGAGAAATTCTCAGCTAACTTAGCAGTTCTTGGGTTGTCAGGCTTTGGTACCTGCTGAAGTCCCAAGCCTGATCTTGGGGATATCTGAGATAGTTTTCTACCTGGAGGGTGCTTTCTGCTAAGAGCCTAGGTGGTGGTTGGCCTTAACAGTTTTCAGGACATGGGACTAGGGAGATAAAGTAAGGGTTTCCAAATTTACCCCCCTAAAACTGCAGCTCTGACACCACCAAGGCTCTGGGCTTGTGACTGAGAGTCCTTTGCATTGTGCCCCCTCTAGAGAAACACTGTGTTTACAAATGTGCCTAAATACCAATTTTTCTATGTTTGTTTGTTTAAATAAAAAGAGATGCAAGGTAGCTCTTGACTTGATGTGCAACTTTCAGTGTTTAGGGACCGCATTTTAATGTAGTCACATGTCCTGGCTGAAATAGAGGATAGTGAGCTGTCTGCATCCACATAGTACAAAAAGTTTTCACATCCATCCATCAMCTACAAAAGCTTCTCAGCTCACAGGGAAAGACAAGGGTGAGGAAGCAGGGAGAGGAACTATTTAAAAATAAAATTGAATCATTGCACCCCTCTGAAATGAGAAAGTGGTGAGCTGATGTCTGAGTAGTGAATATTGATCAGGAAATATGGAAAAGCTTTCCCTGAGGCATCTACTTACCTCTCTTTGAAATAAATGGGAGAATGCTCCAGTTTAAAGTATTTACGGTGCACAGGCGATGCAAATAATTAACCGCCTAAAAGTCCTTCCTGTGTTACACTATTATCATTCAAACTGCAGGAGCAATTAGAGATCCTACCCTGAATCTGGAGCCCCTGCAGTGTGATTTCAGTACCTGGCCATAGCCAGGATAGGGGTGTACTTAGGTAGCTGAGGGTGTTTTTCTGACTCTCTTCCCCACACTTCCTTCACATTTCCTACCCCAAAATAAAAGAAGGATCTTTGAAACCTTTCAGCAGCAAGTTGCTAAACAGCTGCAATATAAAACAGACTTTGAACTTGCTTTTTCAGAAGAAGGTGAGATACTGATATCGATTTGTTTTTCCTTTGCATATTAAATGAAAGATAGATTTGATGCTGCTTCATAATGGGTTATACTGTAGTAAAACCTGAGGCATCCTTTTACAGTAACTGCATTGTTCCGTTTAATTTCCAACTCGTTCAAATATTACATTTTTTCTTACTAATGCATAGGTGCTTCATGAAGAGACTACAATACCAGGAACTGATCTGAAGTTATCCTACTTAAGCTCCAGGGCTGCAGGCTACAAATCTGTTCTGAAGATCACAATGACCCAGTCTGTTATACCATTTAATTTAATGAAAGTTCACCTTATGGTGGCAGTGGTGGGAAGACTTTTCCAAAAATGGTTCCCTGCGTCCCCAAATCTGGCGTACACTTTCATATGGGATAAAACAGATGCGTACAACCAGAGAGTCTACGGATTATCTGAAGCTGTTGGTATGTGTGTTGCGCAGGCTATGTCCGTGTTCACTGTTGTCTTGGAAAAAAGGGAATTGCATCTCAAATGCCTATATGCATTAATTAGAAGGTACTTATCAGGACAAGATGAGAAATAAAGATACAGAGTAAAATATGTTCCATAATATTCATCTAAATTCCTGAGTTGTAAGAAGAGCACACTTCAAAAGGAAAAGGAGACCACAGTCATTTTGCTCTTGGAATTCTTAACCTGTGAGGAAGCCTCAATATGGTAAGACAGTGGAGCTCTTAGTCTGAGCGCTCCTTATGCGTTAGACCTCAACAGCAGTCTGACTACTTCACAAAATGGCTTTTGCTTTACCTGTCCTAATCCACTTACTGTTAATAACTAAAATTATTGTCATAATCGCTGATTGCTTTCTAGAATATTTTGGAATTTTGTTAGGTGTTTTGAATGCATCTAAGGCGGTCTTGGAGATTTTTACTGAGAACAGAAGAACATGCACTGTTTAAACAAATAACTATTGTTAAACTATTCTTCTGAACGAGATTCCTTATTTAATCAGGAAATTTATGTTTCAGTGTCTGTAGGTTATGAGTATGAGTCTTGCTTGGATCTAACTCTTTGGGAAAAGCGGACTGCCATTCTGCAAGGCTACGAACTGGATGCCTCAAACATGGGTGGTTGGACATTGGATAAACATCACGTGTTGGATGTGCAGAATGGTGAGGAATGTGCTTCCTTGGTGCTGATTTCAATCCTAAATTGCACTACACTTTAAGYGTGTCATTCTATTTTTTCAAATGTTTGCTTTATTATTAAAAAAATTACAGAATGTTTTGCATATGGTAAATGCTTTGAGTTTTACAGCATCTGTCATGTTTTTTCCTCCTAAAAAAACATATGCACTAGTAATGTCACTTAACAAATATCTTACAGTAAAACCTCTGGGTCATTCTGTGACAAATATGTTTACCAGACAAACAAAAAAAAAGAACAAATACTGAATTGTTTTCAAAAAGCGAGTGATGCTAAGGACAAGTTATTTTTAAGGAAATTGTGAATGTCAGCATTGTTTTTTGGCATTAGCTGGCTGTACATATGTTGAACAATATTTACACTTCCAGTTTTCAYGATGAGTGAAATCTAAATGGCAATAAAAAGCAGGGTCCTCAGGCGCTGTGCTGCTCAGTGAGTCGTCTGGGCAGTAGTAACTCCTCAGCAACTGCAGCTAAAAGAGGCAGAGCGGTGGCTGTTCATGAGGATGTGCCTGAGCACCACTGGTGCTGAGCGGCCACTTGGAATAACAAGGGTGCAAGTGTGAAAAGTAGGCGGAATAGAGATTCACAAGTGAAGGTGGGAGCTGGTGGCATGGGATTTTTATGCAAGCTGTTGGGAGTGCAGCTGTAAGTGAGCAGGGAGTCGTCACTGCTGCAGCAGGCCCTGCGCCTGGGGGGTTCCCACCACCTTAGTCGTGTGACCTGCCCATCACCTCCTAAAGCATTGCTTCCAACTGGGATAAGCAAGGGAACCCCCCCTTCGTTGGGAAAGGCTTCGTTGTCCCTAATTTAAATTGCAAAAAAAAATCTGRGCAAAGTTGTTTGTGGTAGTCCATGTGGAAACGGAAAGGGTCGCAGTTCTAAATGTACGTATGAGACTGACTCTGTTTGCAAGGTAAATCGATGAGGCTATAAATTATGTTCAAGAGTGCCTGTGACAAGTAATGACTTTCCAAAGTGGCGTGTGTCTCACTGAGTGAACGGAGCAGAGAGTGGTGGCGACAAGGAGGAGGAGCTGGGAAAGGTGTTTGGAGAGCAGGACAGGGCCTTGCACGGAGCTGCTGCTGCAGTGAATAGTCTAATGTTCGTCCCTGCGGCCCACGGTAGCAGGGGAGAGGTGGGAAAGACCCATTTCTCAAAGTAATGACAGAATAAATCAGGTGCAGCAGTGTGCTGGGCTGACTTGTAGGATTCCTCTGATGAAAATTATAGAGCTCGGCTGTTCTGGGCAAAATTATGGTTCCGTGATTGTCCTAAGTGATGTCATCAGGGAGAGGCAGTTTTGTRTATCGTTAATGTGTCCTGGCTTTGGCTACTCACAAAAATGCATTCTACCTGTTTTATTTTGATGACTTATTTAGATTACTTGTCTTTAGGATTCCATAAGCCATTTGCATTTTTCCTGATTTTACCATGTATAGTGGTTTTGTATTTATATCTCCCAAATTTTATCACATTAAAAAGATCACATTTTTAAGAGGAAAAAAAAAATTTACTCATATCCTTCAGCAAAAAGTGCAATTTTTTCAGGAAAAGAAGAGGAATACGTCTTAAATTTCCTAAATATGCTTTTCAAATGGTGATTTTTTGAAGGCATCTGAAAAAACGAATGTACACCTCAGCCCCCAAACTGCCTTTGAAGCTGTGTACGTGCTGTCTGTAAGGCATGCATCACTCTTAAAGTGCAAAGTGACGTGTGGTTTACATGGATTCCACTACATAAAAATGTATTTTGATACTGGGGGACACCTTGATGGGTTCATTGAGATATATAATAATGAGGGTCCAGGCAATCCTTAGTACCCTGTAAATTCAGAGATTTTTTCCTAGGACTGCAGGTTTCACATCAAGCATTCGTTTTTCTTTTTGGGTTTCCTTTTGAGGCCATAAGGAAGAAAAAATACTGCTGGCACATTGCTTTGGCTTTACAAAATTATTGTTCCTTTCCTGCCTCAGAGCAGAATTAAGTTTAAGAGGCAGGTTGGCCTGGCACCACATTTTTTTTGTTGTTTTGACATTTTTAATAACTGCCTATAACTGCAGACATGGTATCGAGGCAGACTTTGTTGCCAGAGGTACATTTTTATTGTTAGCCGAGTAAAGAGCCTTTTATGATGTACGACTGAGGCAATCACCAACTTTTCTTGAAGTGGCTCTTTAATTAATATTTACAGTTGGCAGCAGCGATCCACTTTAGATTAGATCTGACATCATATCCTAATTAGGCGGAGTAGGACTTCAGAAATAAAATTAGCATTATTTTAATAATACATGCACAGTTAGAGTTTCCATTTTGGGGTTAGGAGGAACCCCAGAAGGAATTAGGAGCACAGGGCTTATATTTATTAAGCAGGCCTTGCATTTCCTTAAATATGAACATTTCTATACTGATTTATAAATAATAAAATCTGTTAACATTTTAAAATAAGAATAACTGCGGATTTGCTTGGGTTCTGTAATTGTAGTATATGTAGTGTTTCTTCTACATTATGTGAATAGGATAATTTAATGTTTCAGATGTATTTTTAGTGTATTTTTGACTTAAGTGTAACTCTTAATGCCTCAGCAAAATTCTATCAATTTTAACATGGAAAATATCTTAGTGCAACAAAATTAAATGTCTATTAAGTTACATTAATCAAATTAAATTGAATATTTATAATATTTCCACACCATCATATACACACRTACACTCAAAAGCTGCTATTAACTGTTCTGGAATTTCTGTTTTTTACATGTTCTGCCAGGAATCCTGTACAAAGGAAAYGGTGAAAATCAATTTATATCTCAGCAGCCCCCAGTTGTTAGTAGCATTATGGGCAATGGAAGAAGACGCAGCATCTCCTGCCCGAGTTGCAATGGCCAAGCGGATGGTAATAAATTACTGGCCCCCGTTGCCTTAGCGTGTGGGATAGATGGCAGCCTCTACGTGGGGGATTTCAACTATGTTCGGCGGATATTTCCATCTGGAAATGTAACGAGTGTTTTGGAACTCAGGTATGKTTTTTTCTCATCTCCAGCTTTCCGAGTTGTGGATTCCTGTTGGGAACTAAAGTGTGGTATAGATTTCTGGCACTGTGCAAGGCAGAGTTTCCAAATGCATTTGGGAACAAGRAATTTGTTTCAGAAGATTTTGGTACCTTTGAAATAGTATTTAGAAAGGAAGTGAGAAAGCTTCACCATGGTAAAGTATTTTAATTATGCAAATCTAAACTGTAAATTTAGTCTACCCAAATCTGTGGATTTACTGAGTTCATTTATGTAGTCAACATGACTGGACAGAAGTTGGCGATTCATCGCTTCGCTAATGATACATTTAAATGTTGCCGCCTTTTCATCTTCTAATGCGATGAAATATTCTGAATATTTCTCTAATAATGTTTTTCTGTTCTTTTTTACTTGCTCCCACCAAGAAATAAAGATTTTAGACATAGGTAAGCATTTCTTAAAGAAGATTTATATTTCTCTAACTGTTCCTTTTTCTATTTTTTTTTTTAAACAACTGAATGCTTATAACGCACAAGTCATTTCTGAGATGTATTATTAGAAAAGAGAAATATTTTTCAAAAATAATGAGTTCATATGTTTTAGTTATGTCAGCTGTCAGGTCGCATCCTCCTGCCAGATACRAGTTCATATTTTCTCATCGCTCTCTGTCCGCAGCCGGTGCTCCTCTTGTGTGTGCCCTCCTCTGCTGTCCCTTCGTCTCTGCTCACTCCTTGCTGGCAGCACTTCTGCTGATCCTATCAAAACTCATTAATCAGATCCCCCCGAGTACCGTGGGAATGGCGTATGGCTAATAAAATTATAGAAGTATAAAGTGAGTTCATGTTATTAGCCTTTTGATGTGGAGTCTTTTCAGGCTCACATTTAAGAGAGTTCTTCATCCAAAATGCAAGACCCTCTCCTAAGAATGAGAGCTAAAATTGTCGCACCACAGCATGGCTCCAGGAGCTAAGACTTGTCATAATAAATAATAGCCAGGAGGATGCAGTACAACGTTTGTGCATCCTGGCTTAGGCAGGGGCAGAGGAAAAGAAGATGGATGCTTGGAATTGCTTTGCCACAACAGCCTTGCTGGTTAGGAGACAAAACCGGAGCTGGTGTGCTAAAATCTTGTTGGATACATGAAACCCTGCAAGACTTTGTGACAGACCTGCTAAATACATAAGGCTCAGCAACCCTCCTTCTCTGCTTTTTTGCTGCCAGCCTATTTTTTTCCTCTTTTTTTAAACAAATCCCACAGAGTCACATCTCAGCTTTCCTTTTGCCTGTTTTTTTTTTTTTTTTTTTTTTTTTTTTTTTTTTTTTTTTTTTTTTTTTTTTTTTTNTTTTTTTTTTTTTTTTTTTTTTTTTTTTTTAATTTAATCGCTTAGCTTTTGGCCATATGTCTTTGTGAGGAAAGCTTTTATGTTTAAGAACTGATGTTTCAAACATGTTGGGAAAAAAAGCCCCATGACTGCATAAGGTGTTTGCATCAGTGCTAGTGATGAGAATGGGAGCCCTGGGAGCTGCTGCGCAGCCTGGGTGGCTCGTGCCCTCCTGCAGGTGTGACTCAGACTCAGCGGTGGGTTGCATTTGTTCCATCACTTCTGGAAGGCTTGCAACCTTTGTGGTGGGGCCAAGCTGCAATTACAACTAGGTATTGCCAAACGTGTGGAATATGGATACTCCAAATGGGAGTCTGGAATGGACAAGTGGGACTAAGGGGCTGACAAGTAGCGAAGTTTGTTTTCTGTCATTTGGTAGTGGTATCCTATGCTGTTTCTGGCATGAATGTGGTTGCAAGCTCAACTGTGGCATTTCAGAAACAGGGCCTGTGTTGGTAAGGGGTGTTGGAGAGGGAGCACACRGGAGCTCTGTGCGTGTCCGCAGGTCAGCGATTCGGCCGTGCAAGTGCTGCAGTTGCCCTGCACTGGTTATTGCAACAGCATTTCCACAGCCCCRTAGAGCAGCTGTCAAGTGAGGGAGGTTCCTCCAGGGGTGGAGAACCATGGAGAGGACCCCCTGCAGACCCACTCTGCAGTGGGACTCGTGGAGCCAGCACGTGGGGTGGATAGCATCCCCATGTGCTGTCCTACACACTTGGGTTTTCTCCCCCATCGGGACCCATATGCCAATAAAGGGTGAAAAACCAWCAGAGCTAATGAGCCCCAAATCCAAAAGCACTGGAATTTAGATAAAGGTCCTTGTCCTGAAGCGCACACCAGCAGACACACAGTGTAATATAGACCAAACGTGYGGCTGTCCTGGTGTCTCATCTCCCACCTGGTGCAACAGCAGGCGGACGGCTCTGCGGTGCCTCTCATCATCTGTGACATTTTCCCTGTGTGCACTCACAGCCTCAGAGTGTCGCTGCTCAGGGACTTSCTAAGCCCAGGGTGCTATCTTGAAGTTTAATAATCCTTGACAGCCTTTTGTTCTGTAAATTGCTTTATTGCTTTTTTAACCCGTGTGAACCTTTAGGATCCACTGAATTTGGTCGCCGAGGGCCCCACAGCTTAGGGACACCTTGGGGCTTCCCTTGTCTGGGTTAGCTTGAGCAGAACCTTGTGTAACCTGATGCRGAGAAATGCAGAGAAAGGAAGAGCGTGTCTGGCTGGCTTGAAGGAGAGAGAGGACAGCTTGTGCAGTTTCACAAAAACTTGGAATTGTGGGGGAGATTTCTATTTAAACTAGGATTTAGAAAAGAGCCTTTGCAATACATAAGTGCTAAGCATTGAAACGAAGAAAATGCACCAAGATGGGCATTCACCAAGTAAGATTTATAAAGAGCATTCAGCTTCAAGGGGTCAGCTCGCTTCTAAACACGGTGCTTCAGTGCAGAGCGATGTCCCCCCGGCTCCTCTGAAGGAGCCCGAGCTCTAAATTAAGGAGCCAATGCAGATCAAATCTATTCTGTAATATAGCAGTGACCTAGCATTTTGTAAATCTCAAAGCTGAGCTGATGTCTTCATACACACTGCTGCCTGTGAGTGATTAATGCTGATGGGCATTCATGGAAGAAGTAATTTTTAGAAGGACTTTGAAGACASGGAGGTCATTTGTAGGCCATGGTGATATCCTGAGTCTGCAGGGAGGCAGAGGAAAGTTCAGTAAAATGCAAGAGCAGCTTTGAGGGCATATGGTTTAGAAGGCATGCCATGAATGGGAGGGATAGTATGGATAAGGGCTGTGATTAGAAGAATATAAATGATTTGATTCTGTGTGGAGAGTAATGCAGAGGAACTAACTCTGAGAATTAAGAGTGTCATAAGCAAGTTAAAAGCTCTGGGAAAGGAATCATTGCAGCCASAAAACCAAAGAGGAGGCAGCACTTACCAGTGAGCTTTTCCAACCCTTTGCATTACAATTTTATGTTAAGAAAATCAACAACRGGAAAAGGTTTGCTGAGTCTGGTCATTGAAGAGGCCTGTGCTAGGTAGATATGTGTGTGTCTATGTGTGTGTTTGTGTGCACCTTAAATTCTAAACACTGCYTTTAAGTGTAGATAGAACAGGCTAATTCCTAGTTACTTGCCTTGAGTTGCAGTCCCCATTGGAATAGGACAGCATCTTTCACAGAGCTACCTCCAAAGATTAGATTACACTGAGCAAGTTGAAATGTGGAGTTTACTTCCTTGCTTTTTTGGAAGTTGTCCAAGACAGGACCGTAGCATCACTGGCAGCTGTAGTGAAACAGGATGGTCTCAGCTCAGCGCTCCGGGCGCTRGGTGCTCACTCCCAGTCTGAGACCTGCATAGGTGCTTTCTGGCTTGAAAACAGGCATGGGTTTCACTAAGCAGTTCCCCAAATTGGGCCCTGCTCTTTTGGACTAATTACCTGTGGTCCCCAATAGCTTCTGATAGCTTCAGCGCCGATACCTTCTCTTGAAAGGCAGTACCTCAGGAGCCACTTGGCTGCTCCATATGAGGGATTGGAGAGTTTTTGTTGACTCAGTAGCAATATCCTAAGCACTCTCCAGATTTTGCTCGTTGGTCAAAAGGAGAAATTATCCTTAAATTATCACCTGTGTACTGCTAAAACTAACCCTACATTAGAGGAGAAGCACCATTTTTRTTAGAACTAATTAAAACCCATAGTTTCCCTCTTTGTTTATGAAGAAAATGCCCTGAACATACTTTTAAAAAGAAATGTTAGACACAAATTATTTAATTTCTGATTTGATGAATCTTTTTCCAGCAATTGAAAATATGATTCAAGCAATGTTAAATGAGTTGTCAAGAAGTGCTTTAATTCAGATTTTAGTAGTACAAGGAAGGACTTTATTTTAAATTGTAGTGAAATAAAATTTAATTGCGTATTTCACATTTTGCAATGTGTTTATATTTGAAATGTCTGCAGCGTTTCTTAAAGACCAAAGTAATCATGTAAATGGGTATAATTAAATTTGCAGTCTATGGAGGTATAAATAATTTGTACACTACACAGTGATCATATAAGTGATCTCTGCATAAATGGAGGTTTCGAAAATATCCTTAAACTATTTAGCACTTTGCCAGTAATGGATTTCTAACAGACAGAAATTTCGAGTATGCCTGAATTTAATTGTTTTCAGAYGTGCTGCGTAACATGCAGCTCTATAGCAGAGCTTTTTAAGAGGTGCTAATCACTGTGTATGTGATTTCATTAGTCTGCTTCGCTTGGTTTCTTTGTTCTGAACCAACACGTTAAAAGTCTTATAACCAAAGAAAATCTTACTTATGCAACACATTTTTTCTGTATTATTGTAACTGGATGGCTATAAAAATCTGTCCCCGCTTAAAGACATAATTCGTTCACAACTTGTTCCTGCTGGTCTCTTGCTGCTTTTTGCAAGTGGCGGTACATAAAAATGTGTTATATTAGCACAGTTGTATGTTTGCAGAATGTGAAGTACAGCAGCCTGCGAGCAGATGTTTGGATATCMCCAGGATCGGGAGACGTGTTTAAGCAGCAAACGTCAGAAATGGGACTGACTGTTCTGACACTCTGATTCAGTCCATTAGGAGAGCGTCTGAAATCACCTCCTGCACTTACATGACCTCATTTCAGTTCTTCTTGCCATAAATTAGGTCAGGAATCCTAACTGCAGTGGGTTAAGTTTCTACACCAAAATATATCAGCCCAAAAGGTGCTCTCCAGGGTTGTTTTTTTCACCAGCAGGGGAGAAAAGACAGTAATTCTCAATTATGTGGCACCAGTGGAGAGACAAAAAGTATGTTTCTCAGAAAATGGTTAGCAATATATGTTTTCACTGTAATAAAGACTGTGTTGGCATAGTTAGTGGTTTTGTGCCAATGTGTACRGTAATTTGAAATACGACTCTGTGTTAAGAAGAAAGGAAAAGCTCCTTTCAGASTTTGGGAGGGAAAAGATGCCATTCCCTAACGCGGGAAATCATGCACATCACRTCTTTGAAAGGAATGGATTAAACAAATGCTTAGGAAGGATGTCTTATCTCTTGCCCACGAACTAATAATATGAACTCTGCCTTATCTGTTTATGAATTATATAAGCCATGCACCCCAGCAGCCTTATATAAATTAGAATAAAATGGATGGGATGATAACAGCAACTAAGTGTAAGCTAGGGTTGGGGTTGTGCTGCAGAGCTGGGAATTAAACCAAGCTTTCGAAGACTAAGAAAGCCTGGGAGTTTTTAGACTCTGCTGTTTGATTTGGTCTGTTACCAAGAGAGGAAGTGTCTTTAATTGTGCAGCACGGAAGGAGCATTACAGGCAAAATTGCATTTTCTGCCCCAAATGAATGAGGAGGCCAGACTGGACTGCCTTTGGACATAGGAGAGATGAGAATCGAGGGAGGCTTGGGCTGGAGCGGAGAGCCAGCAGAGGTCAACCCTGGTGGTGGGTTCCCTGCCTCTCCTGCCGTGAAAGGGGCATGGCAGGAGGAGGGGTGTCTGCCTCCAGGGAGGGCTCTTCTCCCTCCTCTTCCTCATCCCAGCAGTGGCTGCTGCCACCTTGCTTGCACCAGCGGGTCCTTCCCTTGCAGCAGCTCGAGGTGGTTTGGCCAGAGYGGTTTAACCAGCACTGCCAAAAGTCTGCCTTGGGGCTGCAGCTTATGCTGCACGTGCCTACAGCATCGGTGTGTTTTTTAACTATTTATACATTACTAGAGACCACGTATGAGCTGACACCTTGCTTTCTGGGCCCAGTGTTAAGGGCAGCTGATTAGAACATATGTATTTCTTCTTTACAGCAGCAACCCGGCTCACAGATACTACCTCGCCACAGACCCTGTCACYGGAGATCTGTACGTCTCTGACACAAACACGCGCAGGATTTATCGGCCCAGGTCGCTCACCGGTGCCAAAGACCTGACCAAAAACGCCGAGGTGATCGGAGGGACTGGGGAGCAGTGCCTGCCGTTTGACGAGGCAAGATGTGGTGATGGAGGCAAGGCGGTGGAGGCAACGCTCATGAGCCCTAAAGGTAAAAGGAGCTCCCCCTTCATGACTTCAGTATGAAAGTTTGGAGCCAAGACCTGTTTGCATCTAATTCCGATTCCAGTGTTTGGGTAGGAAAGTTGGTTTTGAGTATTTCACACTGGAGAGAACCTTGAGGAAGAGTTACAGGGGACCCAGGTTGATTTTACAAATATAAACACTTGGCTTTTATGGTTATTGAACATTTTAAAATGCTCACTTAGATTGTGGTTTTGGCTGACTGTAATGAAGGTTTAAAATTGTTGTGATGTTTGGTCCCTAATTTTTCAATTTAACTTAAAATGCATGTTCTCCAGTGAGCAGTAAATGCAATCAACAGTAGTAGATTTTATAGTAAATATAGGTTTATTATGTGATGTATGTTTGCAAACTGTTGTACTATCTACTGGCTGATACTGTATTTTCTGCCCTTAATTTTCACTGCATACATATAACTTAGTTGATTATGGATAATGCATTGCCCGCTCATACAAGAAACTAGCTTTTATTCTCTCTGCTGAAGGAATAGCAATCGACAAGAATGGGCTAATCTATTTTGTCGATGGCACCATGATCAGGAAAGTAGATCAAAATGGAATCATATCCACGTTGCTTGGCTCCAACGACCTGACCTCAGCACGACCGCTCACCTGTGATACCAGCATGCACATCAGCCAGGTACTTCTTAACTGCTGCTAATTTGGATAGCTGAGCTCGGGCCAGGAAGTGCAGCTTGCTTGCTCCTGACGGAGAATGGGGAAGGATGCGTAAGGAATATTTAACAGCAGAATTTGGAACAAAGACCTATATTCCAAGGGCATGAATTGCATTATACTCTCTTAGCTATAAATGCTGCTGTATTCAATTTTTCTGCCCATAAAGTTCAGTTTAGTTTRGAACAGCTAGGCTATCAGCAGGAGACATTAATTCTAGCAGTAAATACTGGAAGAATAGAAAGTACGTTGGGATGATATTGGCATGTTGATGTTTTCTGGGTGAATTAGACCACTAACATCCTTAGCATATTAAGATGAATGTGAGAATATACAAAAGGATGAATGTGAGAATATACAAAAGAGCCTACTTTTTTATTTGTCCCAAGAAATTTGTGTAATTAAGAAGGATCATCACTAGTGGTGTGTTTAAAACAGAGTTCAGTGCAGTGTTTCATCATGTGGAAGGCAGTAATTTTCATTTTTTGGTATACAAGAATGCAAAGCAAGAGTGCTAACTAGGAGTATGCCTGTAGTTTTTTATATCTGTCTGCTTTTTGTTTATGTATTGGCTATGCATAAAGCCATAGCTTTAATTGGAGGGGAAATCTGACCTGTGTTATAGTTTCAAAGCACTTCAAGCATTAATCTTAAACTGGAAGTAGATTAGATAATTGAATTTCATCTGGCTAACTGTTTAATAAAACACCCTTTTTTGTTAAGGTACGCCTGGAGTGGCCTACAGATCTAGCTATCAACCCGATGGATAACTCCATTTATGTTTTGGATAACAACGTGGTTCTGCAGATCACAGAAAACCGCCAGGTTCGCATCGCCGCCGGGAGGCCGATGCACTGCCAGGTGCCTGGAGTGGAGTACTCGGTGGGAAAGCACGCGGTGCAGACCACACTGGAGTCAGCAACTGCCATTGCCGTGTCCTACAGCGGGGTGCTTTACATCACAGAGACCGATGAAAAGAAGATTAATAGGATACGGCAGGTTACAACCGACGGAGAGATATCCTTAGTTGCTGGAATACCTTCCGAGTGTGATTGCAAAAACGACGTCAACTGCGACTGCTACCAGAGCGGCGACGGCTACGCCAAGGACGCCAAGCTGAACGCGCCTTCCTCTCTGGCGGTGTCTCCGGACGGAACGCTCTACATCGCCGACCTGGGCAATATCAGGATACGGGCCGTGTCGAAGAACAAGCCCTTGCTGAAYTCCGTGAACTTCTATGAAGTTGCTTCTCCCACTGATCAAGAGCTGTACATCTTTGATGTCAATGGTACGCACCAGTACACTGTGAGTTTAGTCACTGGAGACTATATCTACAACTTCAGCTACAGCAATGACAATGACATTACTGCGGTAACGGATAGCAATGGGAATACGCTCCGTATCCGGCGCGATCCCAACAGGATGCCAGTGAGAGTGGTCTCCCCCGATAACCAGGTCATCTGGTTGACGATAGGCACTAATGGGTGTTTGAAAAGCATGACTGCCCAAGGACAGGAGCTCGTTTTGTTTACCTACCACGGCAACAGTGGCCTTCTGGCAACCAAAAGCGACGAGACCGGATGGACCACGTTTTTCGAGTAAGTACATAAAGTCAGGTGCTTATTGGGTTGTGTAATACCATCCTTTGAAATATTTYTGGGGCCTGATGGACCAACTGTAGAGATGTCACTTGATAGTAAAAAACATAGAAGAATATTTTCTGACTCTCCTACAGTCTCCATCTCTGACTTCTAGATGTAGATTTGAATGATCTTAAATGGATTATTCTGAATTTCAGTTTTATATTTCAAAATAATTGTGAAGCAATAGCTCTCTCTTGTCAAGAAAACCGCAACTCAGACAACCAAGATTTTTTATCAAAAGTTCCTGTATAAAAACTATATTTCTCATTACATTTGTTCATTAGATTGACATTGTTTTGCAGCAAACACTGACTAGAAATTTGTTTCACTGCTCGATATTTCCATTTAATTTGTCAAAGTAGAAGCATGTCTGCTTTTATGCCAGAAAAAGGCTGGGTGGATATTTTTTAAGTTATAAAATGTTTTGTTTGATGGAGTGGAGAATATGCAGGGAAGATGTCATGGATGACTTTGTGAGCCTTCACAGAGATGAACCCCCAGCAGAGGACAGTAGCACAAAACTTGAAAAAGGCAATATGGGCCAGGGGGGAAAATGGCATTCCTGAAGGGAGGAGTTAAAAGCAGAGAGGCCACCACCGGTCAGTGCAATATACAGATAAGAGCACAACAGTGAGACATAGTGAAGAACGAGCAATACTTGTAAGTTTACTAACCTCTGGCAAGTCTTTTAAGTGAATTGCTGTACCCACTGTTACAGTCATTGAGTCATCAGCATCTGTTCCTACCAGGCAGATCAGCAAAATGTTTTACAGGATCCTCAATGGCATCAACTAAGGAAGGTCATGGCAATTTGTATATGAGGTAGGAGAACTCAAGAATTCAGATGTTGTCTTTATAGACAGTTTTATCACCCAAATAAACGGAAGTACAAATTGATACACCAAGCAAAGTTTACTGAAAATGGAGTTTAACATGTAAGCAATTTCTTTAAAGGAAATCAAAAAGAATGAACTTTTAACAGTCATTTCTATCAGTTGGAAAGCATTTCTGGTTTTGTTTGCATCAAAGAAAGATGCTGAAGTTGTGTAAGACGTGCCTAGGAGAAAGCAGAGGAGTTCACGTAGAGTGAAAGTGTTGGAGGGGCCTCAGTTGAGATGTTCAGCGTTACAAAGGGCATCATGAAAAGCCAGCCAGTGCCTCTTCTTTTTCTATTCTTTTTTTTCTCTGTCTTTTCTTCTTCTCTGCTATCGTTATGATGAAATGCGGTAGCAACTGCTGCCAAGGTCAGGGCCTAAAAAAAGCTTTCAATTCAACACGCGTGATAAAGAAAATAAAGTGCTGGTGTCAGGCAGTGGCCGCAAAGCCAGACATCTGTGTTCAGAGATAACTTTGCRCTTGTGTCCGGATCCACTTGGCTGCAGCGGGATGCAGGGAGGCTCTGAGCACCTGTATCTCCTCTCCAGCCTTTGCATATGCCCATCAGAGACAGGAGAGCAGCAGGTGCTGCTTCCCTGCACATTGTGTCCTCAAGTGGGGAGACGCACGGAAACACGGATCCCGAACAAAGGCAGCAGGTGGGAACGGCACTTGCTGCCAGCTTTAAGGTATTCCGACAATAATCCGCGCATTGGCAGCGCTCCGCTCGCGGGCACGTTCCCAAAGCATTAGTGCACGCCTGCAGTGCCTAATTGTGCATTTGGGCCTCGCTGCCTGTCCTTTCAGGCCCTGCCAAGAGGAGGAGAAGGCAGGGAGGCGCGGAGGAGCGGGAGGCCGGGGGTCCGCGCTGGCACGAGGCCGGCACGTCCTGCGTGCCCGGAGCCACGGCACTGCTGCGGGTGGGCTCTCGCAGCCGGGCATTCCCGCAGAGAGCAAATCCAGCGTTGAACGGCGACGTGCGGAAACACGGGCTCCCCGCAGAAACACGGGCTCCCCACGGAAACACGGGCTCCCCATGGAAACACGGGCTCCCCACACGCGTGTCAGCCAGGCGGCCGGCCTGGGGGATCGGGAAGTCTCTTACCGGAATTAAGGCATCTGCTGGGTACAGCAGGCACCTTAAATTCTGCTGGCGTTCGTGCTGGATAACTGAGGAGCCAGAGTTTTAATCAGAGCAGTAATTTCTCGCCGTGCTGCCTGTAGTTTCCGTGTGCCTACTGTGTGCCTTGCAGAAGTAGTTGGTGGCTCCTGGATGTATCTTAATGGCTTCTGTGTGAGCGTACGTAAAAAATGGATATTATATTTGCTATGAAGTGGTTTGTAGGTCTGTGTTTTTCATCATAGGAAAGATTTAGGATACTGTGGGTCACGAAGCCCATAGTTATTTACCAAGTCTGTAAATAGACGCCCTGTCACATCTGCTCTGCTTTCATGCAGGCTTTCTGGTCTGTGTTAGGCATGTCCAGCTGGCTTGTGGAGAACCCTTGTGCTTTGACACAGCAAAAGGGCATGCTATTCCCCTCAGTAAGTATTAGTGTTATTTCCAAGCTGCTGTTTATGCCGTTCCTAAACAATTAGGGCAGACGAACATCTTGTTAGAATTCCCAAAATGAGATAATTCCGGGGAAAGTGAAGCAATTACACTCGGCGCAATTTGCAAGTGTACACGGCTTCTGCAGAGGCACCAGTATTAATCTCCTCTCCGTATCCATGGTGAAGAAGTAATCTGYTTAATTGCAGCGAGGAAGATTCAGATTAGACATGGGGGAAAATGTGACTGCGAAGATGCAGAGCCCCGGAGCAGGCGGCGGCAGCAGCGACCCCGTGGTCCCCGCGGAGCCTCTCGGGGAGCAGAGGAGGCCCCGCTCAGCGCCGACTCGGCACGTGCAGCCCAGCCTGCTGTGGGGCTGGGGTGGCACCGTGTGACTCCCGAGGTCATGGCTCTTGCAGACGTGCTTTCTGGAGCTTTTCTTGCTATTTCTGCAAGATAATAGCAAAAGTAAAAATCCGCGCTCGTTACGGAAAGCTACATGAGCAAAGAGGCACTGTCTTGCGTTTCTTGCCCAAAGAAAAGAGCAGCCTTAAAAAACAAATACTCTATAGTATAAATTTGTATCTTTGTGTGTCCATTTTGAAGAAAAAGTAGATAAAACCAAGGCCATTCTGGCACCTTTCATTCTCAAATCAGCAAACATTGCTGTGACTTTGCTTTCCTGTGCTAATGATTTGTAGCAGTGAATCCCACTGGTTTGGTTTCCAGAGGCACCAACCTCTGCCAGCTGTCACCAAAAGGAAAACCAGGTATGGAATATGAGGGACTGTGTCGTGGGACACGGTACCCACATGTGCATGTGTCTGTTGGTTGCAGCTTCTGCATATCCGTGTTTCTCAGTAGGCTGGATTMGCTAGACTAAAACTAAAAGGTTTCCCTAGAGAATCTGTCATACTAAGGAATAAGAAAGTAGGGAAAAAAATTATTTGACTTGCTTGTTCTACCTTGGTAATAGGAAAATATTTTGATTTCATTGCGAGATATATTTTCCTTCAATTTAGGAGCTCGCTTTTATTTATTTATGTGTTTTATTCATTTCATTGTATATACTTGTATCATCAAAATATTTTGTGAGAGGGACAGAACTTGTATTCCRTGGTGAATTGTGCTTCCAACTCATGATTAAAGCAACTATTAGATTTTCCAGTAGATCAGAAATGTAATTTTTCAAATAGCTCTGATTATGGCTGGGTTGTTTCACCCTTGTGTGTCATATGTCTGTTTAAATGACAGGAGCTATTTGAAACTAAAAATACTGCATTTCTAGTACGGGCAAAATCAGTCTTTGGGGCTAAATTAGCCATAGCTTCCTTAGGTATTCTCCTACAGAAATCATCTTACGCAACTGGGCATGGATCCAGAGTATGTAGATAACTTCAGTTGAGTTCTCAGTGATTTGGGAGGGAAGAGAGCTAAGAAAACTGTGTTTTCTTGTCTTGGAACATTTTCTTAGTGAAAGAGAYGATCTTAAAAATCATTCTAGCCCAACAGTGGGAGGAGAATCAGTCCAGCTGTGCAGACACGTATGAAGGCATTTGGATTTGCTTCTCTTCATGTTTTCTTCCCTAAACTAAATCACACTAGCATCGGATCCAAAAAAAAAGTCACCTTTCTTTCTTTCTTTAATCTGGAGAGCAAAGCTAGAGTTTGTCMCAGGCCACGGGCAGTTTAGCTGAGAATGGTTTAAAACAGTCCTGCTAACTGACTGTTCAGTGGTGCTYGAGAGGGTGAATTATTCCAGAAAAAGAGTCACTATGACTTATATTCATTCTGCTTAAATTGATCATGAGTTTAAGGCGCTGTTCTGCCACGCAGCCAGGCTCTTCCCCAACTCCTTCTTGTCCAGGCTGATGTCAGAATTCAGAATTATTTCCTGGAAGCAGCCGGACCAGGTGCRTAACATCTGCTACCCTTGTGCCATAACTACTTTCCCTAGTGGTGTTCTTGGGAATCCCTTTGGCCTGCTGAGTCCCTGTCTGCTGATGCTCTGCCACGGAGCTGCTAGAGATTGTCCCTATAGCCACATGGACCTTAAAGATGCCTTAAATCGTGCTGAGTCCAGCGCCAGGGGACCAGGAGCTTCCCGCAGAGCTGGTCGAGGCGCTTCTGCTACCTCCGGTGTTTGAGGCACAGCTACTAGTGCACTTTGGAAGGCAGAAGGTATTGATATTACCTGGTTCTGTTTAATTTCTGCCTGCCCCTGGGTTTGCTGGGTGTGCTGTATCGCTGTTGGAGCTAGGTGGTTAAAATAGGCTGGTAGATACTCCTCGCTCCCCGCGCTCCTCCAGGGAGTGTGGACGAGCCGGACTCACCTTGGGGGCTCCCTCAGCCCTGCCGCTACACCGAGGAGCTGGCTGTGCAGCCTCGGCCGTGAGCCAATTCCCTTGGCTGCTGGGTGTCTTTTCCCTGTCGTCTTCCCTCTTGCCTCTGTCCCCATTTAGGAGCAGTCTCCGGAGGCTCAGCACTGATCCAAACCACGATGCCGTCCTCTTTRCAGTTTGGCTGC